GCTTAGTAGCTCCGCGGCATGTGGGATCTTCCCGGACCAGGGCTCGAACCCGTGTTCCCTACATTGGCAGGCGGATTCTTAACCACTGCACCACCAGGGAAGCCCCTATTTATCTGTTTTATATACAGTGGTGTGTATCTGTTAATCCCAAACTCCTAATTTATCCCTCTCTCCCCTTTTCCCCCTGCTAACCATAAGTTTCTTTTCTATGTCTATGAGTCTGTTTCTGTTTTGTAAAGAAGTTCATTTGTATCATTTTTAAAAGATTCCACATATAAGGGATATCGTATGATATTTCTCTTTCTCTGTCTGGCTTACTTCACTTAGTATGATAATCTCTAGGTCTATCCGTGTTGTTTCAAATAGCATTATTTCATTCTTTTTTATGACTGAGTAGTATTCCATTGTGTGTGTGTGTGTGTGTGTGTGTGTGTGTGTATCTCACATTTTCTTTATCCATTCATTCGTCACTGGACACTTAGGTTGTTTCCATGTCTTGGCTGCTGTGAACATAGGGGTGCATGTATCTTTTAAATTAAAGAGAATTAAGTGTGTTTAAATGCCAGTCAGAAGTATCCAGTGGAAAGAGAATGATACCACAAGTCACATGTGTATTGGGGACACTGGCTAGAGCTCAGTGGGGGTGGTGGAGAGCAGAAACACCCAAATAGTGAGTATGGATGGCTGTGTGCTTAGAGATTATGCATGACCTTGGAGTGACCTTGAAGCCATGGGAAGAGGTTTGACGTTGATGCAGCAGACGAGAGGAAATACCTACAGATTCTGGAACAGAAAAATGAGAGTTTTTTAAGGGTTATTGATCCAGAACATCTCAGAGGTGGGAGAGGCTGGAATCAGGAAGCCCTGTGAGAACGTTTCAGAAATTTCAACGGAACATCCCAAGGACCTGGCCTAGATTCAATACTGAAGGGAAAGGAAAAATATGGAGACTTTTCCAAAACCAGTTAATACGTCTGAGTGACCGACTGGTTGCTTACAAAAAGAAGGGGGGAGGGAAGTTTCAAATATGTTTTCAAGGTTCCTTGAACGGGAGAACCTGAAAAACGTTTGGTGCCAGTGTCAAACGTGAATAAAAAGAGTGAAGATTCTCAAAAGTGAGCCGCCGGCCAAGAGCGGAGAGGGACAAGGAGCCTGGGGAAATTAGATTTGACGGTGAAGAAATTATTGGAACTTTCCGAGAAAAAACTTATGAAGACTTAACAGTAGGGGCTTCCCTGGTGGCTCAGTGGTTGAGAATCTGCCTGCTAATTCAGAGGACACGGGTTCGAGCCCTGGTCTGGGAAGATCCCACATGACGCGGAGCAACTAGGCCCGTGAGCCATGGCCGCTGAGCCTGCGCGTCTGGAGCCTGTGCTCCGCAACAGGAGAGGCCGCGATAGTGAGAGGCCCGCGTACTGCGATGAAGAGTGGGCCCCGCTCGCCGCAACTACAGAAAGCCCTCGCAGAGAAACGAAGACCCAACACAGCAAAAATAAATAAATTAATTAAAAAAACAAAAAAGTACCAATGCCACCGTGGATGTGAGGATTAAATTAGTCAATGCTTTAAAAAAAAAAAAAAAGACTTTACAGTAAAGACTAACCTAGTAGTTTAGATTTTTAGACACAGAACGAGTGAGTCCCCTTGTGTTTAGGAGGCAGGGCAACAGGCGTGTGACGATGTGAACCACATGTATCTCCTGTAGAGCAGGTCCTCGAATCCTTGGTGCATAAACCAAAGGTTAATCACTTACTTCAGAATGCCACCGTTTCCCTCACCCGTGCACGTTAGAACAGCCCCAGTAGCATGTTCTTTAGGTAAGATGAGGAAGTCAGAAAGGGACTGAAAATATTTTATCTTCAGCTCCTGAGAATCACTTCTGAAAACCTGGTCCATGATTGAATTGATCGCGCTATTGTTACGTACAACGTGCTTTTTGTTCTGTGGAAAGATTAATTTTTCCCACCCCCTTCTCTCTCTGTGTGTTGGCATGATAGGATTTTTCCCTCCTCTTTTTTTCTTTATTGCATAAATGTAACTATAAAAAGAAACAGGAAAATTACTCACAGTCCGACCAGCTTAACACTCTCCTGTTGTGTTCTCTCTTCCTTTCTCGTGTGTGTCTCTGTGATACGTAGTTGGATGCACCTGTGATCAACCACAGTATAATACAGTTTGTCATTTGGCATTGTGAAATGTGACACGTCACACGCGGTTTAAAAAAATGATCACATTAGGTGGAGCTTGCTTTTATTTTAACTTCTTGCAGTTGGACCACCAGCCTCGGTAGGAGTAAGCCGTGCTCTGGTGGGAGGAGGGGAAGAAGACGAAAGATTCAGGGCGCCAGCTGAGCCGGGCCCTGTCCGTGGACCCAGGCTTCCCGCCCCCTTTGCTGTCGCCCTGCCCCGCTGTCCTGTGCGAGGGAGCGTGCCCAGGATGGATGGTTCCGTGGTGAGCCTTCTGAACTCAGTACTTGAAGGAGAACTGAGAAGAGGAACCCTTCTGGTGGATGACATCATAAGCTGGGGGACCGCCCCCCTGCCAGTGACAGTGCCGGGGTGTCTGAGCACAGGTGGGGGAGCGACACCCACCTTAGTTTGGTCTGATGATGAATTTTAGCAACCCTCTCAACTTAACCTCGGCTCGTTACAGTTTCTGAAAAGATGTGCCCAGAGATGGGAAGGGGCTTTCAGAAGATCAGGGGGCAAATGATACTGATCTTCCGGGGATGAAGCGGCAAGAACGGAAAAAGGAGCAGATGTGGTAAAAGTAAAGCTGGACTGTGTGCTTCATAATCTACAACTGGGTGCATTTCATAATGTACTTTGGTTCGACGTAAGCAAATCCCTGGTGGGTTAGATGAGGCATAAGTAACGCCAAGTGGCGAGCAGACCAAGATTTGCTGGCAGAAGGAAGGACTGAAGCTGTAGCTGAGAATGATGCCTGGCTTGGTCTACGGTCCTCTGTCATTCTTCCCGAGCAAACGAGTAGCTGAAAAGGAGCCTTACTTTTAGGGTGTTATTGGGAATGGAAAACGCCTCCATGACAGTCAGTCCTGGACTCTCAGCTTTGCCTGTTCTGACTGTAATTACGTTGAAACCTTAGTTACCCTCCAGTTTTCATTATGGTCCTTGCCAAGATTACTTCACTCCAGAGGGCTGGTGTTACTAAAGTGTCTTATCGCTCAGTGGTTTTAATCTTCATTTTACAAGAATAATTAAATGCCTCTTTTCTTCATCACTGTTTAGCGTGATTGGCAAGTGAGGCGTCTGGACACCTACATGCATTACATGTGTATTATCGTGCTCTTAGCTTTCTGGTAACTTAATTTGGAAAAGTTAACTTAAAAACCATAACTTTCCAGTATATGAATATGACAGTTTAGCCTTTATTATGTCAAAGTTTTCAAGGCACTCAGCCGTCAGACGCTTATCAGAGGACGCCACCCGCCTCCACTTCATCCCCTCGGATTCTGGGATGCTGGGAGATGCAGCTGCTCATGTCTCAGTAGCTGTCTTGGCGGTGGGTTCAGAGCTGTTTCACCACAGTGGTTTCTGCTTCTGCCTCAGAAGACGGAGGCCTCTGCCAGCCTGTGGGCGCGTCCCTGCTCCCAACCCTCCCTACACAGCAGAGGCCTCCAACCCACGGTGCAAATGTATAAGTTACTGCGATCGGCTGTGATTCATCAAATGTCTTCTGAGTTTGTAAAAGAGGTCCAGATTTTTCATTTTATACTTTAACCTCCAAGGGGGTTTTATTTCTAGAGCATTTAGGAGATCGATGTCTGGGTTTTCACCCCTAGAACTTTTTTTGACATCGTCTAGAGTAAACAGTATAAGCGAAAATTAAAAATGTAGTATAGATGAAGACTAAAAAATAACGATGGTGGTATAGGGGAAAATAACAAATAGTTCCGTACCTTACATTTCCCATTATAAGTATTCTAAATCCTGAATCATTTCCATGTTATATAAATCCGTTTGGCATTGAAAACCATCCCACAGATGAACACACTGGGCCCTTATCCTGTTGGTTCTTGTTTGTATATGAATATAAATGCACACAGCATTCACACTTAGGTTAAAAATAATAGGTCATTGAATCAGATCAGTGTCTCCTTAGTATTATTTGGGTCTTATGATTTCTTCATCGAATTTGTGCTCAGTCAAAATATGTTAATGATAGGGCTTCCCTGGTGGCGCAGTGGTTGAGAGTCCGCCTGCCGATGCAGGGGACATGGGTTTGTGCTCCGGTCCGGGAAGATCCCACAAGCCGTGGAGCGGCTGGGCCTGTGAGCCACGGCCACTGAGCCTGCGCGTCCGGAGCCTGCGCTCCGCAACAGAAGAGGCCACAACAGTAAGAGGCCCGCGTACTGCAAAAAAAAAAAAAAAAAATGTTAATGATAAAATTTTTTTGAGTGTTTATTTAGGAATTCACAACAATCCTGTATTTTGTTTAGTTGCCAGGACTCTCAGTTCAGATGTGTTCTGTTGCAAGTTACAGAAAACCCAGTTCAGGGTGACTTATGAAGGGCGACTGTTGGCTTGTGTAATTGGAAGGCTAGGGGTAGGGCCAGCCTCAGGGTGACTGGTGCACAGCTCCACAGTCCACTAAGAGCTCGGTTTCCTTCTTTCTCACCTTCCTCTTGTGATGGTGGTTGCCAGCCATCGCCAGACTTAACACGATTGCTCACCCGTGTCCAGTATGTTTTAGAAACTCGCCCAGGAAACCTCTCCTTGTGTCTCATGGACCTTGACTGGGGGGCTCGTGCCGTGCCTTGAACCAGCAGCCGTGGCTGGGGATGGGGTTATGCTGAGTAGCTCAGCTTGTAGTCAGCTCCCCGCTGAAGCACAGGTACAGAAACCCCAGTCAGAGCCGGGTAGTTACTTAGGGGAGGGGGATGGAGGGAGGCAACAGCCGCCCTGCTCACCGTGCCCTGTAGTTGGAGTTGTTTATACAAGCGCTCGCTGGGTTTCACTGGTTTCTCCTTCTCTCTTCAGGGACTGTGGCAGCAGCCAAGCGGACAGGCATTCCCACCCCTCGAGAACTCGCAGTAGCTGTCTCAAGAGAGAGAACGCTGCCACGCGGTCCCTCCAACTCCAGGAAAGCGGTATCCAGCCCCACCTCTTCCAGCACGCCCACCCCCACCAAGCATGTGCGGGCCACTCCCACGAGACCCAGGCCGGAGCACGAAGACGCAGAGAAGGCCGCGCTCGAGTCCCAGGTTCGGGAACTCTTGGCAGAAGCCAAAGAGAAAGATGGTGAAATTAACAGGCTCCGAAGTGAACTCAAGAAATGGATGGAGAAGTGGACTCAGAACACCGAAGGGGCTGACGCTTTGGACCCAAGTGTGGACGGAGCGTCAGTCTTGCCGGGTGACTCGGAGCCTTTGATCAGAGCCCTCGAGGAGAAGAACAAGAACTTCCAGAAAGAGCTCGCTGAGCTTGAGGATGAAAACCGGGCCTTGAAGGAGAAACTGACTTATTTTGAGCATTCCCCAAATTCAGAGGGGGGAGCGAGTCACACGGGGGACAGCAGCTGCCGGACGTCGGTAACTCAGGAGTCCAGCTTCGGGAGCCCGATGGGAAATGAGTTGTCGGGCGAAATGGACGTGTGTAAAAAAAGCCCACACGAAGGTGTGTTGCGGACGTCGGGCTCTTCGAGCAGCGATGTCACCAAGGCTTCCTTGTCCCCGGACGCCTCCGACTTTGAGCACATCCCAGCAGACGCCCCTCCGGGGCCCCTGTCCCCCGCCGGGAGCCTCGTCAAGAGCTCCAAGTGCTTGGCGGCTGGCAGCTCCCCACACACCGCGAGCGAGCTGTCCCTGGCGTCCCTGACGGAGAAGATCCACAGGATGGAAGAAAACCACCACAGCACTGCCGAGGAGCTGCAGGCCACGTTGCAGGAGCTGTCGGACCAGCAGCAGATGGTGCAGGAATTGACGGCTGAAAACGAGAAGCTGACGGACGAGAAGACGCTCCTGGAAGCGTCCTTTCATCAGCATCGGGAGAGGGCGGAGCAGCTGAGTCAGGAGAACGAGAAGCTGATGACCCTCCTGCAGGAGCGAGTCAAGAGCGGGGAGCTCAGCACCCAGGAAGGAAAAATCCTGGAGCTGGAGCAGAATTGCACGGAGATCCTGGAGCAGGGCCGCTTCGAGCAGGACAGGCTGCTCAACATGCAGCAGCAGCTGACCTGCCGTCTGAGGAAGGGCGGGGAGGACCGGGGGGCTCTGGAGACGGTCGGGCTCCTGGAGGAGGAGAACGGGGAACGGACCACCTTCCTGGAGCCGGAACGGCGCGACAGCGGGACCATGGCCGAGACCCTGGAGGAGTGTCGGGTTCCCTTGGAAGGGCTCAAGGTGGAGAACGGGTCTCTGAAGGCGCACCTGGAGAATGAGAAGCCGAAAGCCGTAGAGACCAGCCCCCCGGGGCACACGGCCGAGGGCTGTGAGGTTCAGGAAGTGTTGACAGTGGCCCGAGCCGAGAAGGACCAGCTGGAACAGTCCTGCGCGGAGCTCAGACAGGAACTGCTGAAGGCACGTGGTGAGGTTAAGCGTGTCTCAAGCCTGCTGTCCAAGGTAAGGGGCGTTCTCTCTGCCAGTGTTTGCTCATCCTTGAAAGCGCAGCCCTCCTCGGCCTTTAGAGGCACACGGCACAGAGAATCAGGCACTCGATTTCATTCATAATCCAGCATTCTAGCCTGACGATCTGTCAGAGTCCAGACAGACTGGGGATGCAGAAACGAGACACCCCAGTTTCTGGCTGCAGCAGTTGAATGTGTAGTGGGGATATAGTGAGTCTGATGCAGGGATAAAGATGATGCGGGGTTAAAGAGCATCGCAGGGGACAGCCCGGAGTCCAGTGCCCAGAGGAACACCTAGAAAAACGTGGATAAAGGAGGTAGTAGTGCCGGAGGACTTGCTGGAAGAGGTGGCAGTAAGCTGAGTCTTGAAGGAATGAGTGAGAGGCATCCAGGTCTCTCGGATACCATGCTTTGGGCACCTAGGAACAGAAAATTAAAACCACCCCAAGTTTCCCCACCAAGTAATGCTATAACCACTATTTTGGTGTTTTCTTCCAGATGTGTGTGTGTGTGTGTGTGTGTCCCACAAGTTAAAACAAATTTTTTTTAGAGTCATCCTGTGTATATTAAGCTTTTAAAAATCTGATGTTTCCTGAGCGTGTTATTAACTATTAGTTAATCATTAACTCTTCATTAACTATTAACTAATAGTTAATATCTATTAACTATTATCATTAACTATTCTTTGAAACATGATGTTGAAGGCCAGATAGTACTCTGTTCTATAAATATTTCCTAAGTACTTTGCTAGTCACCTGTTGTTGAACATTTTTGTTCTTTTCCAGTCTTTCAATAGGGTAAATCATTTTTTATCTCTCTGTCTTAGGAAAAATTCCTACTCATTGACTTACTGTGTCAGAGTATGACTGTTTTAAGGACTTTGAATGCATCTGGCCAGATTGGCCGCCAGGAGTGTGACACAGGTGTGCTCCCACCAGCAGAGGGATTCCCTGACCCGTAGCCAACACTTGGTATCAAGTTGTTGGGTCATTCAGATCTGGTTTTCATTTCTTCTTTGACCCTTCCCCTTTTTACTTAGAAAGATCTTCCCCAACCCAGGATCAAATAAATGATCACCACCTTCATTTTTAAAAATAATCCTTTAATCAGTCTGGACCTTTGTTCTGTGGTGAAGATTGCTGGTGATTGTGTGATACTCTTTTTTTTATATATAAATTTATTTATTTATTCATTTTTGGCTACATTGTGTCTTCGTTGCTGCGCATGGGCTTTCTCTAGTTGCGGCGAGCGGGGGCTACTCTTTCTTGCAGTGCACGGGCCTCTCATTGCGGTGGCCTCTCCTGTTGTGGAGCACAGGCTCTAGGCACATGGGCTTCAGCAGTTGTGGCATGCAGGCTCAGTAGTTGTGGCTCGCAGGCTCTAGAGCACAGGCTCAGTAGTTGTGGCACACGGGCGTGGTAGCTCTGCGGCATGTGGGATCTTCCCGGACCAGGGCTCGAACCCGTGTCCCCTGCATTGGCAGGCGGATTCTCAACCACTGTGCCACCAGGGAAGCCCGATTGTGTGATATTCTGCCCACCCACAGAGCAGTGCTGGAAAAGCGTAGACAGGTGGCTTCCAATTTCCTGTTTCCTCTAAGCTCTGGGTCTGTGATTTAGGGGTCCCTTGGTGAGAGAGCTTGAAAACATCTTCCCACCTTATTTCAGAGGCTGTCACTCTTTTAAGAAACAAATTTGCCCTGAACCCCCAGGGGGATTTCTCTTTCCTGCTTTATCTGCCTTAAGAATTGTCACTGATTGACAGTTGAGCCTGATTCTGGCATTGGGCTGATCTGAGTGGTGGGCAGTGTTAGAAGTTTTTATCATTGTGTTCTGAATTCACAGCATTTTATTGAAAGTGTGGAAGCGGTACCCTTGGCAGGTACTAGCCAGGTGCCCATGTGAACTGTCGGTTGGTAATTTGTAGCTTTACATTGAGATTTCGTGTCTGGAATAATCCCCCCTCTGTTACTCTGTTGCAAAATGTTTGATCTCCCAGGCAACTTTCTTGAAGTCCTCCCTCAGTCCTTCATCTGTCTCTTTGTTATTTCCATTGTCATTACATTAAATACGTGCATCAGCGAGAAATAATTTGGCATCTTAAGACAATAGCTTATTTTTCTGATCAAAAAGTTGTATATTCATCACAGAAGGTTTAGAAAATACAGAAAAGTTTTAAGAAGAAAATAAATGTTACCTTTAATCTCACTACTTGGAGGAAAAAAATGCCGCTAACATTTTTACTCTTTGTCTTTTCAGACATTTTCCTAGGTTAAGCACATTTTGACATGCATACAAACTTGAACTGGCATGATTACAATATTTAATCTTCCAATTCAGGAGAATAGAGTATGTCACTCCACATTCTGTGAACACAAAGACCCAGTTGGATTAGTTTTATCAATTCTCCTATTAATCTGTTTCTGATTAATTTGTTTCTACTTTTATCTTTATCAGTTCTTTCATCCTGCCTTTTGTATATTTCTTTGGTTTCTTCTTAGTTTCTTGAGTAGAATTCTTTGTTCATTTAAGTTTATCCTTTCTTGGTTGATAGTGTAAGTATTTAAAGCTATGAATTTGCCCCTTATTATAGCTTTGGCTAAATGAAGACAGTAAAGTCTAGAATTTTCTAGGATAAATGGAGTCTATTTTGGAGAGAAAGAAAAGGCATTTTTTAATATATATGCTTTAAATCAAGCTGTTTATTATATTATTCATATATTCCATATCTTTATTAATTACTTGCTGATTAGAATGATCACATACTTGACAGTAGGATGAAAAAGGTCCTAGCTAGTATTTTGACATGAATTGGAGGTAAAAGGTGTGAGGCATGATGTCACAGATTGAGATCTTAGGTCTGTGATTTTGTGCTTGTACACAGAGAAGTTGTAACTTCTAATCTTTATGCCCTTTTCTGTTACATAGGAAAGTAAAACCCAGATCTCCTAGCCTGACTAATAGCTTATTGTAGCCCCACCGAAGCATATCAACTGACCCACCAGCAACCGTGAATGTAGATGGTAAGACGTAGGGATTCTTGCCCGAAGGAAACCAGAGCACTTTTAGCACAAAACTCTAATGAGGATATAAATGCTGGACCAGCTAGAATGCTTGGGTCCTCCTGACTCAGCTGATGGTTAATTTGGTGACCATGGGCCCCTTCCAAGTGTACAGTAGAAGCGTGATGGTAGAGGGATCCTGGCCTTGTTCCTGATTTAAAGGGAGTGCTTTCAGCATTTCATCATGAAGGATGTCCATGGTAGGCATTGGCTATATACCTTTTATTGAGTTATGCAAGTATTTTGCGAAGAATTAGTGTTTTAACTTCATTGCTTGTTTTTAAAAAAAGGATGGGGATTGAATTTTTCTATATTTGCTGTAGACCTTAGACATCTGTAAGATCTATGCAGTAGATCTTATACATCTACTAAAATCTTATAGTTTTTATATAATCATAATGAGTTTTCTCCTTTAATGTGTGAATGAGGTAGATTAGGGTAACAGACTTTCTAAGGCAGTCTGATGTTAAGCCACTTTTGCATTCCTGGGTAAATTCTAAGTCTCCAGTTCTCAACTGCTTCACTGGACACTTTGCATAGAACTTTCAAACATAACCTCCTTAAGCAGATGCCAGGGTGGCTGTCCTCTTTGTCACCAAGCAGACTGCGTGGTGCTGAACAGCTCTTGCCCTTGAGCCCTGCATCCGTCCACCTAATTCTTGGCAGAAGGTGAATATTACGAGAAAAGAACAAAATAACCTATTTACAGAGAGGAAGGGCAATGCCAAGCCATCCTGTGACCTTTTAGATTTAGTAAATCTGTAGAAGTCTCCAGTTTAGACAAGTTACTTAAGTGACTCAGATACTGTTAGAAGAGCCTCGGAAAGGCCTTAAAAAGTAATTTCTTTTGGTACGGGGCGAGGGGGTGGGGTGCGTGTGTGTCAGTTCCTCATACAGTGAGTGGACAGTTGGCGGGTGTGTTTGTTAATGGTGTGAATGTTTTGTAGCCTTTCTCTTCCTCTCATTTCTTTGTCTTCAGCTAATGTCTTCATTCTTTGAGCTTCTGTGACACCCATTATATAACTTTGCTGGCAGCTTTCTGTGTGAGTATGTAACCTACCTCTGCACAGCTTTGAGGGAGGGGCTGATTTCCACAGAATCCTGAGGTCTCGGCCTCCTGCGATTGCACACGTGCCTGCCCCAGCCAGCCAGGGGCGTGGAGTTGGACCACATCATTGTTTCCAGACTATAATGCAACCCAGGTTTACATTTTTTTGACTTTCAAGTTTTCATTCATTTGGGATCTTGATGTCAAGCTAGAGAATTTATAAGGCTTGGAACCTAGACGTTTTCAGAGAAAACACTGATGTTTTTCCCCTCCTGAGGTTGAAAGCTTATAGGTGGTATCCTTTGAAATTCAGTTCTTTCTGCAAAAACTCAGGTGTTTTGTCCCGAGGAGTAAGGGGATCGTAAAGAAGCACTTGCTGTGAATGGTCGGGGAAAACTAGAGGTGACTTGGTGATCGTGCGACCAGCGTTGGTCACCAAGGCAGAATAATTAGGGTAGCTACTGGCCACAAACGGCAAAAGCAGAATTCGAGAGGACGGCGTGGCCAACTGGATGATCCTGTCCCCGTGACTGAGAATAGGACCCTGCCAGGACTGGAGGGACCTGGACCCTGCCTTAAATAGCAGGTGGTCCGTGAGGATACCCAGGTGACGCTTTGGACCGTGAGAAACAGACCCCTGGTGTCGGTGCCCGAGCCGGCAGATGCGCACCCTACCCCGTAACCCAGAGCCTGGGGTCCAGGCGGGGTAACGTCACGGCTCCAGGCTGGCGGCTCCGTGACCCTCTCAGCCCTCCTGCCTGGGGCGCAGGTGAGCGTGACCTCTTGAGCGTCTGGTCCCCACGGTCCTTGCAGGCAGGAGGCTCTCAGTCCCGTGGGAAGAACTTTCCCTGGGAGCCCCTCAGCAGCCCTCCCTTTATACCTGGTC